GGTTAAAATGTTAAAATCCAGTTAAAATATGGTTAAAATACAGTAATAATACAAGGAAAATATGGTTAAAACACGACTAAACTATAGTTAAAATACAATTGAAATATGGTTGAAATCTGTACGGTTAAAATGTATTTAACAGATAAAAAAGTAGATTTTGCTCGACATGTCCCCTTTAAATGTTTTAATTATCAAGTAACAGTTTGGACTTTCCCTTCATTCAGCTGAACGTTTGCATCATCTCACTTGCTCTTGCAAGCATGCCCACACACTCACATAAACACAACCTTGTATTTCTATCCTTTTTAAGACCATCCGTTGACTTGTATTTGTTTCCATTCGTGTCTGTAGCCTAACCCTACATACAAACAGTACATAACTAACTCTAAACCTAACCCGAAAAATGGAGTTCCACCATTTTAGGACCAAACTTTGATCTGCAAAGCGACTACTGGTCCTCACAGTGTAGGTCCTTATACCAGAAATGGTCCTAAAAAGGTAACAAAACCTGGAACTCAAACACACAGAGTTGTCTATTAAATATATTTTCCTGTTATTTCTCACTCTAATACTCTTGGGATTACAAACTGAACACTTTCAACACAAAAACAGATGTCTGTTTATTTTGTTTTGAACCAGCTGTGTTTTATATTCAGATCTGATGACAAAGAAACTTGTGGTTTGATGGAAAAAAACCAAGCCATCAATCCTGCAGGTGCTAGAGATCTGCTGATGCTTTAAAACTGAACAGGAAATGAGAATATGTCAGTTCAGTTTCTCTGAGCGACCTCAGTTTGGACGGTTTAATTCTGACCAGCTTTGTTTTCTGTTTTAAGTTAATTTTCACGTTGTGTAAATGATGATGCTTACATGGGGTGAGCTCTGTCCGGCTTGAAGGTTAATTTTGGACAATATCTGTCGATCAGCTCCTTAAAATGAAACCAAAGCTCGTTGACAGAGAAATGACTCAACCTGTAACTGAAAATAACGGAGGACAACAGAGCTGCTTCATGTAAGGAGAACCTCAGCTTTAGCCTTTTAGCTTTTGATTTAGCGCCCGAGCAGATAAGTCCAGTGAACAGATTGAAAGGGTACAAAGTAGGGGCGCACCACTTTATCTGCAACAATTTCCTTAATTTTGGAAAATTGGAGGTTGGCCGATACTTGGATAAGACTAGTGGAAAATCGACTTATCATCTACCTCTAAAAGGTCTAACCATCAGCCACTGTCCCCTTTTGCTCTGTTTTGAGCACTACCTAATGTCCAGTTAAAACAAGTTTGGATTGTTTCAAGGGTATTGTTCAATGTATTTCAATAAAATAAGATGGTAACATGGAAGGTGTATTGTGACCGTATAACATCTGACAGTGTCAGCTATTTAAAAATTGAAATCGGCCAAAATCTGAATCAGCAGGTCAGACTTTTTAAAGGCAAGAAAACTCCAATCTATCAAACTGCCAAAGGTTTAAAAATATCTAAGGTTACCCAAAACTGAAAGTCAAGGTGTCTGCGAGTTCAGTTTCTTTTTACCATTACGCTGCACCCTAACCCTAACCAGAAACTGGTGGAAACTCTGACAGTAGAGGTGTGGCAGACCCAACCTTGGATCAAGACAGTCCCAGATCATTGGGGTTGGCCACATCGATCCCAACGGCTGTCCTCTGCTGCTCCTCAGAGACCACAATGGTTGGTTGGTTATAACCATCTTGTCTGTTTGAATCTAAAAGTCCCACAGGATCTTAGCTCGGTCATTCTCCACCACCATGGGAGATGGTTCCCAATTGGACCTAGGGATCTCCAGTTGGTATTCTGCACAGATGTTTCTGTACGCTATACCAGACACTAGGTTATGCTGTTCTATGTATTCCTTCCCAGTATCTGTATCTTACTCCCTGCTGTGAGATGCTGGATTGTTTCTGGGGCTTCTTTGTACAGCCTGAACCTGGTGATCATGCCTGGTAGATCTGTTCTTCAGTCCTGCCCTCTCCATCTATTGGTAGAACTGGTCATATCAGTCACTTCATTCATCTGTTAGTGGTACATCCCATGTAGGGTTCTTTCCTCATTCCTTCAGCTCCTTCTCTTCTAGTTTTCATCGTCTGAGACATTCACTGAGAACTTTGTTTTTCAGGGCCATCTTCCTGATGTATTCTTGGAGCTTTCATCTTAGATGGTGGCTCTGATGCTCACTAGGCCTCTGCCTCCTTTTTGGTGTATAGCCTGTTAGCAGCTAAAGGCCTAGCTGTTGATTGCATGGACCTGTTTTTAATCTTGAGCTGACTTCTCAGAACTTGGCTAACTCGTTGCAGTTATTTGACTGTTGCTGTTTTCCTTGTTGCCTCTTCATGGTTGCGATATACTGTATATAATGTTAGCTCCCAAGCTAACAATATTAGCTCGGGAGCTAACAATAAAATTACTATTACAAGGTAATATTACCATTTATATTACAAAGAATTTACAGTATATCACTAATAAAAATATATGGTGTTAGCTCCCATGCTAATATTAGCTCGGGAGCTAATGATGAGCTTGCTATTACAAGCTGACATTAGTATTTATATTACTAAGAATGTACAGTATATTACTAATAAATATATGGTGTTAGCTCCCAAGCTAACAATATTAGCTCCAGAGCTAACAATAAGATAACCATTACAAGCTGACATTAGTATTTATTTTGCTAAGAATATACAGTATATAACCAATACATGGTTTTAGCTCCCAATTAATAAAGCTCATTTACTAAACATCATGTTTGTCACACATTAGCCTCGACTCTTTGTACCCATCATCATTCCCAGAATGCATTGCGTCAGTAACAAAAGGGTTACGTGCTTAAGTGAAAAATGTAATAAACATAGATAAAATGTAAAAATAATAGTTTGGTTCTGCCTGGACTAGCCCTTAACTCGTAAGTCGAGTCAGAATTAAGCTACTTCCCAACCCGAACTGACGTTATTCAAAGCGCCATCTACAGCAGGTAAGATACTGACTGAACAGTTTCAAACTTTTTCAACAGTCTTCCAGCAGTGACACCTTCCTGCAGGTGTTTGGACTCACCTGATCCGTCTGGCCTCCAGTTACAAACGACGTGGCTGCAGGCGAACTCCATCTGAGACGCAGAAACTTTTCTTTCCCTGCAGAGCTGAGAGGTTGTTTGTTTTTAGGATGAGGTATTAAAAAAACTGACAGATCAGATCGATGGCAGCGCCGTTATGTTGTCTCCACAGCAACCGATTTGTCTTCGCTCTTTTGCCTCGTTTACAGCCGGCTGAGTAAAACCATGAAAGCAGATGTTTCCTGACTTCCTGTGTAATAAAAACATGATCGCCCTTAAACCAGCTATGAAATATGTTGAGTTCAAGTCATATTTGTGGGTAAAAATGAAATATTAAAGAATAATAATGTATTTGACTTGAATAAACATCAACATTATGGTTCAACAATACAGATATTTTATTTTAAAACTCAGAATTTAAAGCGTAATGTCTGGTTTTAACAGCTAAAGTTTACCTTCGTCGTCTGAGAGCAGCAGAGAGAAGAAAAGTGAGCAGCTCAGGTCGGTTAGACGTGTGAAAGTGTCTGTGTGAGTGGTGTGTGTGTGTCTCAGGAAACTGGTGGTTAAAACGAGCTGAAGAACAAAAGATTGTGTATCTGATGGTTTTATGTTGCAGAGAAATCAGGTTAAATATTTAAATCAGGTTCTAGAAAAGTCACGAACTAAACCAGGTCGTTAAGTTTGTTACAAACATTCAGACAAAAGGAAAATACTTTTATTTTTTTATTACTCAGTAATCCAGGCTCGTACTGTTCGTCAGATTAGTAGAAAAATACAAAACGAAACTACACTGAACATATCTGAGAAAAGAGCTTCAACTATTATTTACATTCTGTTATAAAAGTAAAAAACATTTAGATCAAAGTCTGAGAAATTTACACTTTTAAACTTTACAACAGAATAGTTATTTATTCTATATAAGCAAAAAACGTAGCTCTTTATACTAAAAATGCTGTTTTTTGTCTTTGTAACATCAAACAAAAACTGCAGAAAACCATAATTTGTAATTAATTTAAATAAATTTGGTTTCAGTTTCATTTATTTTGAAGCACTTTGCCTCCAGACGAATGTCTCAGATTTCCTTTAGTGTTCTTGGTTTGATTAAAAACTTACTAAAAAGGATCAGAAAAAGTACTTTTTTTATTTGACATGGTTCCTATAATGAAAATGAAAGTTTTAGCTAATCAGCCGAAGAGGAATGTGTCGAAGACAGAAAACACCCTGAAGAAAAACCTGTCAATCAAACAATAATAACAAATTAGTTACATTTAACTCAAGAATTTTGCTTTTCTCATCAAAAACACAGAAAGAAAACAAATTATTTTGAAGTTTTTTGAAAATAAGAATGAATTGCAGTTAAAACCTAAAATTAGATAAACTTTTGCTCAATGCTTAAATTACAAAGCAGCTAAATTTTAGCTGAAAGCTCAAATTGATGAATCCGTAGCTAAAACAAAGTAGCAGATAGCTGCAAAACTTTATAATTAGCTAATTATCAAAAATTATTTTAGCAAAACAGTAACAAATCATTTTAACGACCTAAAAGCTAAAATTGGCTAATTTATCACTAAGAACACCTAAAATTAGCTGAACCATGGGTCAAAGCTAAAATTAGCAAAACTTCAGCTAAAAGATTAAAATTAACTAAAGCAGAGGTAAAAGCCTAAATTAGGAAAATTATATTAGCAAAATGCAATCTAGTAACTCAGATTAGCTAAACTTTAGCTAAAAGCTAAATTTGGCAAAACAGTACCTAAAATTAAATCAGCAACTAAAATTTGAAAAAAAAAAAAAAAAAACATGGGTCAAACTTAAAATTAACATAACTTTAACTAAAACCTTAATAAAATAGTTAAAAATTAGCTAAATTTCAGCTAAATTTGGCTGAGCCACAGCTAAATTTAGAACAGCAGCTAAAGTTAGCTAAACCATAGGTTAAAACTAAAATTAACAAAAAATTACCTAAAAAGCTAAAATTGGTCAAAATGTAATTAAAATGTGTGAAACCATTGGTTAAAGCTAGAATTAGCTTAACTTTAGTTATACGCTAATATTTGCAAATCTTTAGCTAAAATTATTACAGCAGCTGAAGTTAACTCTAAAATGTACAAAATTTGAGCTTAAATTTGTGAAATTGTGGATAAAAGCTTAAAGAAGCTAAAAACTAATACAAGATTACCAGTATCAAGAAACTCCAACCAGCTAAACTTTAGCTAATCTTGGCATAATCCTTTGAATTTAAAAGAGTAGCTAAAACTAGCCGATTAAAGCGAATCATACATGTGGAAAAGTCTGGATCTCTGCTAAAATCTCCGTTTCTTTTCACTTCTCCTCCAGAGTCTCCACTACAGCTCTCAAGATGGCGGCCACAGCCACGGCGCCGGGATCGGGCAGGGTGACCCGGTCCGCGGCGATGTAGCTGGCCCGGCCGGCTCTGGCGGTCATGTGACGCGTCGCCTCGGCACCGCAGGACGCTTTCTGCAGAGAAGAAAGAAGATGGAGGTAAAGGTGACGATCGGCGGGCAGGTGAGCTGTAATTATCGTACCTGAGCGGCAGCCTGCAGAACCGCCATCGCTCCAGCTGGGGGCGCTGCGGTCAGCTTCATCAGCTCGTCCGCCGCAGGACACAAAGCATCCAGCTGAACAGGTAGAGAGCGAGGAAACAGCTGAAGCACAACTAAACAATGGCTGATAAACAAAATACATATGTGTTTGTCTCACCATCGTTCTGTCTCCTGGCTCCGCCCCTCCATACCTGGAAGACAGTTTAAGACAAATATTTGTTTTTAATTCACTAAAAGATGATTATTTATTTAAATCATGTCTAAATCGTAAGAAAACCCGGAAAAAAAAGGAGTGTTTGTGACTCATGAGCCACTGTTTCGCTCAACAAGAATCTTAGCTCTACTAACGCTAAACCACTAAAAAGGTAAAATAATTAGTGGAAGCTAACGCTAACCAGTAAAAAGATAGAAGAATTAGTGGAAGCTAATGCTAAACCACTAAAAAGATAAAAGAATTAGTGGAAGCTAACGCTAACCACTAAGACGACTGTTGGTCTTCATCTGCTTCCAGTTGGAGACTGGAGGACTGACACAAACTTGCTGTTAGCTTTTGATTGGTTTAATTGGAAGGTGGGCGGGATTATCTGTGACAAATCGGCCAATCCAAACCTTCCAGTTTACCCCTTTCAGAATAAAAGCATTTCTTTGATCGAGTTTTTTTATTTTTATAAATACTGTTTATAGTTAGTTACTTTGTCTACCATATTTTATACGCAGTCATTTTTTCTTTTCTTTACATTAATATTAAGTTATTTTATATCTTTTTGGCACTCCTAGTTTGAAGTTTAGCTGCTAAAGATGCTATATGCTAACACACATGGTGCCTGACACGTCCAGCACTGCTTGTAAGAGAGGATAGTTTTTATTTAATTTTAAAAAAGGCATAAAAATAGAAGTTTCACACTTAAAATTAACAGAACCTAATTTAGTGGAGACTAATCAGGCCGCTAACAGTTTCCAAAGTTAGCAAACATGCTAATCTGCCTAATGAGAAGCTAATTCAGCTGTTAACAGATTAGCAGAACTGTGCCCACCACTGTAATCTGGTCTAATAAATTCTTTAAACATGAGCATCAGACGTGTGATTTCATACGTTTTTATGTTTTATGCAAAAGACTGAAAGACAGGAAGTGAAAGAAAGTGTAGAAATTGTACGTTTTTAAAAATTGAGTGAAATAAGTTTGTTTTAAGAAAAAAAATTAGACAGCTCTGAAACTAAATGACCTCCTTTAAAGAGTAACTTACTCCAAAATTAACTTTTTTTAGCTGATAAACTGTCTAGAATGTGTGTAAAATGTTATATAGTACTGTTTCTGTGCTAATTTTGATGTTTTTGTGCGTATTTGTACCACCTCAGACCGTTCAGAGATGTACTATCTGCGATACTGTGGTCACTCTAGAGATGTAACTATCTGCGATACTGTGGACGTTCAGAGATGTAACTATCTGCGATACTGTGGTCACTCTCCATGTAGCATCAATTATGCTAATGCTAGCTGTCACGTTCTCTCGTCCTGGCCACACCTCCGCTCTCTAACCCCCTCCCCTACCCACTTTGATGCATTTTTCAAATTTCGCCTTGGGGCAGAGTTATCTTTTCACAGGGGGGTAAGATACACTTTAAGATCATAATTCCACACCTTCTCATGGCTTGTGTCCCAGCATGCACTGCTCTGGCCCAGGCGGCAGCGTGGCTCCGCCCCTCGCTCACGTGGCCGGCGGCGGCGGTCAGGAACAGACTGTACAGCTGCGACAAGAGGAGGGACGAGTTTATAAGGAAACGTTTCCATCGAAGCACAAAGACGTGTGCGACGGCGAACTCACCGCTCCCGAGGACCCGCCCATCTTCTCCTGGACCAGCCCGCCGAGGACCAACAGCAGTCTCCCCGGACAGCCGGGGACCACGTGAGCTGCGAGCCACTCCTGAACGGCTGCGTCAAAACATCAAGACTGTGTTTTAAAAACAGCGTCAATCCTCCCCGCCGCTGAGGTCCGCCGGCGCCGCCTACCTCTGGCAGCCTGAGCATGGGTGTTCCCGCAGTCTCCGTCTCCGGCTGCACGGTCCAAAGAGTTCAGCTCCTCCTGCTTCTCCAACAACACGCAACAAATCTTATCCAACGCCGTGCGCATCACGGGACTCAGCGCACCTGGAAAGAAACAATCACTGATGAAACATCCGACTCTTCAGTGTTTGTAGTTTGAGTCTTTATGTTTCTAACGTTCCACAAACCCTCTGCGTGTGCGTCGTCCTGCGGCCGCGCGCTCCTGACCGGCGGCTCGGTGACGTGGCTGCGTCCGCTCACGCACACGCTGCTGAGGTTCGGCCAGGCGGGGGCGCTAGTCTTAGCATCTGGATGAAACAAGAGAACAACCAGTAAACATCTGCGTGTTACGTTTTATTAAATCCTGGCTTTTATTTTGAAATCAGCTTTGGTTAAAAGAATAAATACTAATAACAGAAAATACAACCCATAAAACAACAAATCAAATTACAGAATTTGCATTTTGTGCAAAAATAAAACAGAATCTGCAACTAAACTTTTCTGTGAAGTTGCAGCTGAATGCTGAAAGACTTTGCGACAAAAAAGGTAGAAAATTTTTACTGTTTGTTCTAAAATAGCAGAAATTAGCAGAAAAGTAGCTGAAAGGTTGACTCTAGCACAAAGAAACAGAAGAGCTCGCTGAATTAAGCAATAAGTAGCCAGGGGCGGAGTGGGGAAATTTTTCAGCCCGGGAGTTTAATGGCCAAGACCGGCCCAATTTTTGTACATATAAAAAATTAGACAAAGATGCAGCARTACCATGCAKTATTTTTGTATTTTGCATTCACCTATCAAAACCTGCCTCTTCACATTCATCAACAACAAAATAAATGTTTCTGCTGTGGTGCAATAATGTGTACTCAATCACAC